GAGCTGTATTCCCTACTGAAAGTTGTATTCATTGATCTTCATCAGCAAATGCTTCAAGTCCTCCTCATTTTCAGCAAACAAGGTTGCTCACAAGCTTTCAAGACCCCAGACCCTGTTCACCAAACTAAGAAATAAAACATTACCTTGATAAACTATGTTTTGCCAATTGAACTAGATGTCCTCTTCAAGCCCTAAGTACCTCTGTTTGGCAATGCGTAAAAAGTTTCCATGACAGCACCCCCTATGTTTTCTGTTATAGATCTGAATATACGCGTCGCTCTCGGGTATCATCCAGTCAGGTCAGACCCAGAGTGACCCTGGGCACAACAGAAGGAAGCATTGCCTTGTCCTCACAATTGTTCCTGTGTCTGAGCCCATTATTGCAACCACTGTGTCCCTCCATCTCCTTGAGGGCCTTCCTCTTTGTCACTGCCCCTCCACTCTACCCAGCAGGACGTCCTTCTCCAAAAACTGGTCTCCCTGACAAGGTGTCCAAAGGATGTAAGACAAAGGCTCACTATCCTCGCCTCTCAGGAACAACTTGAGATATGCAGATGACATGGCCTTGCTGGCGAAAAGTGAGGACTTGAAACGCTTGCTGATAAATATATATGTTGCACATACAAATAATACATGTCCTATTTAGCATATGTATCTAACTATGCATCCACCCAGAAATTATTGTTAGTTATTCATGTTGTGGTAGCATTATATGAGGGAGTTTCCCAAAGTTCATGGGAAAATGGAATCAAATGATAATGGAATTTTTCTTTAAACTCTTTGAAGCCCCCACATATAAGTTATAGCTTTTGCCATAAGTGTCCTTTATTCTTGCATACCTCTCAGGGTCTTCCTTTGCCTTGGTCATCTTATGCCAACTTCCTCCATATTTTCTACTGCTTGGCTTAGTGGATTACACATTGGCTGCTAACCACGAGATCAGCAGTTTGAAACCACCAGCTGCTCCTCAAGAGAAAAGTGAGGCTTTCCACTCTCATAAATATTTAGCCTCAAAAGCCACAGAGGTAGTTCTCTGCCCTATAAGGTTACTATGGGTTAGCATCGACTCAGTGGCAGTGAGTTTGACTATCTGGTTAGTGTTTAACCATCAAAGAATGTTTCTTTCTGTGTGTAAACCTATTCTTGACTTCTTATAACAGTGGTCTCATACAGTACGTGCCCTTATATGATTGGCTTATTTTATTCAGCCTAATGTCCTCCAGCTCCTCCCCGCTGCAAGACTTTTCATGGACTCATCCTCCTCCTTAGCACTGTGCAGTATTCCATTGTATATGCGGCCACAGCTTGTTCATCTAGTTGCTCGTGGCACTGATGGAGACTTGAGTTGTTTCCATTTTGTTTCTATTAAGGTGAACACTTTAATTTTATCATTAGTGATAAAATTTTTCCTTAAATAACTCATGTTAATAGTTAATAGTTTCAGTAGTTAACTCTTTTTCATTACTACTTTTAATTTCTTAAAGCACTGTTCAAGGAAAATACATTAAAATCATTAAAATCCTCTACCCTTTCCTGGCACTTTTTTTTCCCTAATCTTTTCATTAGGGGCTCATACAATTCTTATCACAATCCATACACACATCAATTGTGTAAAGTGCATTTGTACATTCATTGCCCTCATCATTCTCAAAACATTTCCTCTCCACTTAAGCCCCCGGCATTAGGTCCTCATTCTTCCCTTCCCTCCCCACTCACCCCTCCCTCATGAGCCCTTGATAATTTATAAATTATTATTTTGACATATCTTGCCCTGTCCGACGTCTCCCTTCACCCAATTTTCTGTTGTCTGTCCCCCAGGGAGGAGGTCACATATAGATCCTTGTAATCGGTTCCCTTCCTGGCACTTTTAAATGAATTAATAATGATAGCATTATTACTTGCCAAATTTAATAGCTATAATGGGTATTTTGTGGTATAATTGCAGCAGAAATATTTGTTTAATTATCTAACTCAATTGTACTTATATAATAGAATTGTAGAGATCATGTAATGGTCACATTTCAGCATTACAATTCTTGAAGGTTTCTGTTTCTGGTGTTTATTTTTAAATCTTTTTTAAAGGATAATTAAATGTCAGAGCATAATTATTAAAGTATTTATTATAAAAAGATAATTTACTGGAAGGAGGCTTAGGGACTTTTCCACCAGCATTTTGATTCTATTTAGAATTTTTTGCAAACAATTTCAAGTAAAACAAAATACTTTGTTGTTGTTCTGGCATTGTGGCTTGGACATTACTGTACGGTGCTTTTTAAACAAGTAAGTTAATTTCCATGGAAAGAGTTATGCTCACTCTCTCTTCTCTCCCTTTAACTCCACAGACGTCTTGCTGGAAACGCTTTGACATACATTCCCAAGGGAGCATTTGCTGGTCTTTACAGTCTTAAAGTTCTGTAAGTAAACTGGTGTTGTTTAATACACTTCCCATTTTAGATAGTCAATTAGAATATTAGCATGATAATTAATTTGTAAAATTCAGCCTTTCTAACAAATTAAGATCCATGGGATAGTACCTGTCTAAACTCCATCTCCTCTAGTACTTAGAATTTGTGCATGAAAAAACAATCCTCACTTCAATATCTAAAATTGTTATCATAGAAATAACCAACTTATTAATGCATACCTTTTTTTAAAAAGTATTTCTCTTTGTATTTTGAAGTTGAGGAGAATGCTCTGAATCATCTTGGTCTCTAAATGCAGAAATCTTTCTGATGTTGACATAATGAGATCACACTTTAAATCAGTTGAAGTTGGGTTTTCCCTTATGCTGCACTGACGAAGGATCTACTCAAAATGTCAGCTCCATGTCCCACCTGCAAATACATGTGGGAAAACCCATGGCATAGGAGATCCATAAGTAGCAGCTTTTAAATCCATTAAAATTGTAAAAGTGTATTTTCATATTTTTTTAATTTCCAGCTTCCCAATTTGTTTATATGCTAATTCCATAACTACCTCCTCCTTCTCGTATCTATTGCTTAATGTTTTTTCCCTCAGTATTTAAGTATAGGGGAAGAAGACACTTGGGTAAAGAAACTAGATAATGCAAATTAAAAGTCATACCAGGAAATGTTTATATCAGAGAAAATGTATTCATATTATTTCCTTTCCTTAGATAAAAGTTATTAACTCTAAAAAGACATCTGATCTATTCCTACTTAATACCAATTGCACTTAAGTAGCTTGAGGGATTTGTGGTCTACAAAACAATTAAGTTAATTAAATTTGATATTTTGTTAAAAGTTAAATTCAAAAACAGAACCAGTCATTAGGTCTGCTCATGTGGGTTTGGTTTTTTTCTCCATTTGGATTAATTTGGCTCTTACGCAGACATTTTTAAATTGACATGTTGCCAAATCCTAATGTCAAACCATTAGAGGATAAATTCTGTCTTATAACACCAGGATCAATGCACCTATATGTCCATGAATGTGGACAAATATTTTGAGCCATTCATAAGTGTATCATGTAAACCAAAAGAGTAAGACAAATAAGTGATGTTTTCCTATGTTGATGGAAGTACTAGTGAGTATTTTAGGTACGTATTGAAAAATTATACTTAATTATTTTAATTCACTTTAAAGATATATTAGGTTTATTTAGCTGGAGTGTGTGTCTAGGTACATGCATGTATATCTGTATTTAAGTGTACCCCCAGAAATCATAAATTATTAATATATCATATGAATATAGATGAGTTGTATATAAACAAATTATTTCAATTACATAGTATTGTTTTTAGTCATTGAATTCTTATGCTTGAATGACTTGTTTGATATGAATTTTTTCATCATAAAATTAAATTTTTTTCTAGTTATACCATTATATATTTCGAATTGTATTAAGTCACTTTTATTTGTTCCTAACTATAACCAAAGCTCCAAGAAATTAGCCATTGGTCATGGGGCCATCTCTAGATCTTAGAAAGTACCTGACTCACAGTTGATGCTCAATAAGTTTTGTGAATGAATGGCTCAGGCTGAGGAGACAGAGAGTAAGGGTGCTCTGGACTTCATTGGACATGTTATAGATACAATGTCATATGTTTATTAATGAAAATATACTGTATACGAAACAAAAAGTTGAACTTTCATGTCTGATTGGGCCTTTATCTACTGGCAGCCTTTAAAAAAAAAAAAAAAACACCTAGAATTCCCTGTGTGAGCTTTCCTACTTCCTATGGTACAGTTTAATTATTTCAGGAGCATTGGAGTCATATGATTAGAAAATAAAAATCACAGACTATTTCTCTGTATCTACCATTACAGTGACCAGATAACTTCTGATTCTGTGAAAAGATGCTTTCAGGGCCCTGTAGAGTGGAACTTTAGAGGTTGGATGCATTTAGACAAGTTTGATGGTTCAGAATCAAACCTAGGAGACATGTTTTCCCAAATAGATGGCCCAGGAGCTTAATCTTGAAGGATAACTAGGAAATAACCTGTCGGTCAGCTTGTCATACTGTGGTGGACTGTGTGGTGCTGTGATGCTGGAAGCTATGTCACTGGTATTTCAAATACCAGCAGCGTCACCCCAAGTGAACAGGTTGTAGCAGAGCTTCCAGACTAAGAACAGACTGTGCAGAAGGAACAGGCTGTCCAATTCTGAGGAATTAACCACTGAAAACGTACAGATAGTATACTAAAAACCTCATGACTAGAAGCGCAACACTGTCAGAGAGAGTGCCAGAAGGCACTCAAACTAGGAGTGATGGGGAACTGCCTTCTCCCAGTAGAGTCAAACATAGTAGTGTGGATGGAATTAAGTCTATTGGAGAACAGTCTTTAGGACCTTCATTTGCTCATGGGGCATAACTCAAAATGAGAAGAAACAGATACAAACATCAAATAATTGGAACATGGAATGTATGATGTTATCAATCTAGGAAGCTGTCAAAAGTTAAATGGAATGCATAAAGATCAACATTCTAGTCATTGGTGAGCTGATAGGGACTGGTATTGGCCATTTTGAATCAGAAAACCATGTGGTTTACTATGCAGGGAATGACAGATTCAAGAGGAATGACTTCACATTCATTGTCAAAAAAGGACATTTCAAGATATATCTTGAAGTACAATGCTGTCTGTGATAGGAAAATATCTATATGCATATAAGGAAATCTAGTCAATACCACTAATAGTCAAATTATGCATCAACCACTAAAGCTAGTGATGAAGAAACAAGAATTCTAATAACTTCTTCATTCTAAAACTGATCAAATATGCAATCAAGGTGCATTGATAATTATTGCCAGTAAGAATGCCAACGTTGGAAACAAAGAGGAAGGAAACAGTAGTTGGAAAATGTCGTCTTGGTGATAGAAATGAAGTTGAAGATAGCATGATTTAATTTTGCAAGACAAACAACTTCTTCATTTCAAATACCTTTTTCCAATAACAAAAACAGCCACTATATGCACAGGCTTTTCCAGATGTAACACAAAGAAATAAAATTGACTACATCAATGGGAAAAGACAATCAAGAAGCCGAAAATCAGCCGCTCAAACCAGATCAGCGGCCAACTGTGGAACAATGGCCATAGATTGCTCATATCTAAGTTCAGGTTGAAGCGGAAGAAAAGTAAAACAAGTCTACAAGACCCAAAATATGACCTTGAGTTTATCCCACCTGAATTTCAAGAACATGTCAAGAATGGACTTGACACATTAAACACTAATGACGGAAGACTGGATGAGAAGAAAGAAAGAAAAGAGCAAAGTGGATGTCAAAAAAGACTGAAATTTTCTGTTACTTGAAGAGTAGCTAAAGCAAATGGAAGAAACAATGAAGTAAAAGAGCTGAACAAAAAATGTCAAAGAAATTGGAAACAGCTCGAGAAAACAAAATAAAGTATTATAATGAAATGTGTAAAAACCAAGAGTTCGAGGGACTACCAAAAATGGACTTTGGGGCCAGGGTGTGGCACCACATCAGACTTGACCAGAAAACACTCCTAAAGGTCAACAAACAGACCTTGAACTATAGACAGGCTTTTCTTTTCCTTTTTTTTGTCATTGGTTCTTTTGTTGTTGTTATTTTCTACTGTTGCTTTGTTTTGCTATGTCTTGTTTGTTGTGCATATTATCATCTCTGGGATAGGTGGGATAAACAATCTGGAGGAGAAAACAACAGGACCGACATTTCTGGGGTGGGCAGGGGTGGGCGGCACAAGGGAGAGGAGGAGGTAAGGGAAAGGAAGTGGGTGTTACTAAACCCAGGGACACAGGAACAACAAGTGATCCAAAATCGGTGGCAAAGAGGGTGTAGGAGGCCTGGTAGGGCTTGATCAAGGACAAAGTAACCAAGAGGAATTCCTGAAACCCAAATGAAGGCTGAGCATGATATTGGGACAAGAGGAAAGTGAAATGAAATAGAGGAAAGAGCTAAGAGGCAAAGGGCATTTATAGAGGTCTAAATACAGGCATGTACATATGTAAATATATTTATATGTGACAATGGGGAAATAGATCTATGTGCATATATTTATAGGTTTAGTATTAAGGAGCAGATGGACAATGGGCCTCTACTCAAGTACTCCCTCGATGCAAGAACACTTTATTCTATTAAACTGTCATTCCATGATGCTCACCTTCCTGACACGATCGCTGAAGACAAAGTGGATGCATAAGCAAATGTCTGGGGTCTTAAAGGCTTGAAGATAAACAAATGGCCATCTCGCTGAGAAGCAATAAAGCCCACATGGAAGAAGAACACCAGCCTGTGTGATCATGAGGTGTCAATGGGATCAGATATCAGGCATCTAAGACCCAGAACACAATCATACCCAATGTGAATGGGGGTGGGAGGGCATGGAGTGGAGACCCAAAGCCCATCTGTAGACAATTGTATATCCCTCACAGAAGGGTCACAAGGAAGAGAAGAGCCAGTCAGGGTGCAGTATAGCACCAATGAAACACACAACTATCCTCTAGTTCTTTAATGCTTCCTTCCCCCTACTATCTTGCCTCAATTCTACCTTACAAATTGGATTAGACCAGAACATGCACACTGCTATAGATAAAAGCCCGAAACACAGGGAATCCAGGATTGATAAACCCCTCAGGGCCAACAATGAGACTAGAGATACCAGGAGGATAAGGGGAAGTGAAAGGAGAAAAGGGAAACCGATCACAAAGATCAACACATAACCCCCTCCCAGGGGGACGAACCACAGAAAAGTGGGTGCAGGGCAACAGAGGATGATGTAAGATATGAAAATAACACTATAACTTACCAAGGTTTTATGAGGGTGGGCAGTGGGGGAGGGAGAGGGTAAAAATGAGGAGCTGATACCAAGGACTCAAGTAGAAAGAAAATGCTTTGAAAATGATGATGGCAGTGTATGTGCAAATGCGCTTGACACAATGCATGAATGTATGGATTGTGATAACAG